AAAGAGAAAAGAAATGATATGGGGGTCCACATAGGGTCGTGCCATATTGTGGATTTTATTTATAATATGCCTCCGTCTTTGCCCATGGTATCTTCAATGCGTAATTATGTACGCGTTGTACATATGTCGTGATGTGGTTGGGGCTGAGACGGAGGCTGAACTGCTAATCAATCTCCTGACGGACTTGATCGTCGCTCTGCAAGGTGGTCCGGACGCGTTTAAGAGTGTCCAGGGGCTTGACTGCTGATGTGGTATTTGGCTTGATAAGGCCATTTTGGACTTCTGCTGCAAGGGCCGCGGTGTGCTCCCCGGTACGGAGGGAGCGCTCTGTGTTTCCATTCACTGTTATGACACCACGGCGTCCGGGCATCTTGAGTTTGAGATAGGCATACTGCGGGATCGCATTGAAGCGAGCAAACACGGTTCATCCGAGCAGTGCATGATAGCCACTGCGGAAGGGGACGATGTCGAAGATCAAGTCTTCGCTTCGGAAGTTGTCCGGCGAACCGAAGACAACTTCCAATGTGATTGAGCCCGTGCAACGGGCCTCTACACTAGGTATTACTCCTTTAAAGGTAGTTTTGGTGGGTTTAATTCTTGACGAATCAATACCCATTTTGCAGACGGTGTCCTGATAGAGTAGGTTAAGGCTATTGCCACTGTCCATGAGGACTCGCGTAAGGTGGAATCCATCGATAATTGGGTCGAGTACCAATGCGGCCGAGCCTCCATGACGGATACTAGTCGGATGATCTCTCAGATCGAAAGTGATCGGACAGGCTGACCATGGATTGAATTTTGGAGCAACTGGCTCTATCGCATAGATGTCCCTTAGAGTGCGCATACGCTCCCGCTTGGGGATGTGAGTAGTGTATATCATATTCAGCGTTTTGATCTCGGGGGAAATTTCTTCTGTCCCCCGGTGTTCGTTGGTATGGTTGGCAGGCTTGTCGGGGGTGCCATGAATTTGGCAAGGTCGATCGAGTATTCGGTCTAGGCTAGATGAGTCGTCTTTATTTCTTTTAAATGGATTCTTCCGTTGACAGGATTTGGAGCTATTGAATCCGGCATTAACCGTCGTGCCTTCGGTATTATCATTGTTACTTCAACGCTTGTGTTTGTTGCGTCGGGGCCTGCCACTGTCGTTTCTGGTTTCAGAAGTACCAGGGTCGCTAGTGTCGTTGTTGCTACGGGCTAACCAGCTATCCTCTCCCGCGCAAAAGCGGGTCATGAGTGTTGTAAGTGCTGCCATGGACTTTGGCTTCTCTTGGCCAAGGTGCCGGGCGAGCCATTCATCACGGATGCTGTGTTTAAATGCCGCTAGGGCTTCGGCGTCCGAACAGTCGACGATTTGGTTCTTTTTAATTAAGAACCTTGTCCAGAATTTTCGGGCCGACTCTCCGGGTTGCTGGACTATGTGACTGAGGACATCGGCGTCCGGGGGCCGTACATAAGTACCTTGGAAGTTTTCTCTAAAGGCATCTTCCAAATCTTCCCAGCTGCCAATAGAATTTTCTGGGAGGCTATTTAACCAGTGTCGAGCTGGTCCCTTAAGCTTTAGGGGGAGGTATTTGATGGCATGTAGATCATCACCGCGGGCCATGTGAATGTGGAGAAGAAACTCTTCAATCCATACCGCAGGATCTGTTGCACCGTCATATGATTCAATTTTCACGGGTTTAAACCCTTATGGGAACTGGTGCTCCATTACCTCATCGGTGAAGCATAGGGGGTGTGCGGCGTCTCTATACCGGGCGGCATCGCAGCGTAATTCGGACGGGGGCCGTATGCGGTTTTTGGCCCGTGCGAGGTCGTGTCTGTCCCACCAAGTCTGAAGGCCGCCCTCGCATGTTAGAGCACGCCCCCTCAATCCATAGATTGATCTTGTCAGACCGGCTCTATTGTCCAGGTCCTTGCATAAGTCGTAGGTATAGCCCAGGGCTGTTACCCCCTTGCCTCGGGGCGGGGTGGCGCGGACTGGTGTTCGGTGTGGGTGGCCGGTCTATCATGTCCACGTGGCGGTCGATCGGGCTTGTCAGCAGTTCTATGCTTTAGTAGTGTGGGCTCAGGGGCCTCGTCATCAAATTGAGGCACTAGTTTGCACTTCGGGTAACTCTTAGTTGGGCGTTCGAGGCCGTGTTCCTTGGCTGCCAGGACATTTGTCCATATGTCATTGAGCAGATCCTGATCAGCTTGAAGCTGTTGCTGCTTCTTTTTCAGGCTTCTTGCAGTGGCGATTAACTGGCGTTTGAAGCATTCTTGTTCGAGGGGTTCCTCCGGCATGATGAAATCTTCGTTGTCGAGGCTCACATCCTCTTCGAAGATCGGTAGGTAATTACTGTCCTGCGAGTCTTCGTTCCCGATAGGATCGTCTGGATTTACTTGCCCATCTGCCAAATCATCCTGTTCGGATGTTGGCTCGACAGGGGCTTCGGGGTCTTCGGTGTTCTCCGGAGTGTTATTCTCTTCGGTGCCGGTATTGCTATCTTTTTCGCGACGCGATTTTGAGCGGCGCCACTCACGTCGATGTTTTGGAGGTGCTTCGGCAGGCTTATCCTCAACCGGATTCTCCTTGCCGTCGTTGCCATCCTCTTTGGGTGTGTCCACCATGTACACGTCGTATGTGGAGGTGGTCGTCCATCGTCCGGTAAATGGAGGGTTTTGGCCTTGTTCGTCTCCGGCGTCGTCGTCCATACCGTCGATGTCTTTGGAGGCGTAGTCCAGCATGTCGGCTAGATCCTCGATAGTGGCTATGAAGTGGGTGGTGGGTGGGACGTAAAATTCCCTGCTCTCAGCCCCTAATCTGGGCTGGGTATAATTCAGAAGCGATCCTTCCGTGATGGCGAGTGATCGCATTAAGTCCAGAGCCTCGTTTAAAGACGAGGGTTGGACAGAGAAGCGAGAGTCCGTGGGGCTTCCGGAGTTGGAGCCTCCTGGCGACGCCCGCTTAACACAAACCTCGAGAGTTCGGACTTAGAGTCTAGCGGAGTGTCCAGTGCTTGAGTGACAAGGGGAGTTCGGTTTGTCTGCGGGTTATCCAATGACGTCGTCCCCTCTAGATCTCCGGTAACAAGTTCCGTAATTGCAGAGGATCCCGCGGGCTCTAAACTCCCGTCTTCGGACCCGACAACCTGCTCCGGATCTAAGGCCGGAGCGGTCATCGAGGCAGTGAACCCTTCGAAGAACAAATCCCCTTCGATATCGGCGACATAGTTTAGGTTCCCGAAACTGATCTGATGACCAGGGGCGTAGCTGTCGATCTGCTCAAGGTGGCCAATCAAATTGGCACGCAGCGCAAAGCCGCCGAATACGAAAATCTGGCCCGGGGAAAATATTTCCCCCGAAACAGCATCATTGTGGATGATTGAACGAGCCATCGAATCCTTTGTCGACAGCACAGAGGAACTCTCAATGAAAGCACCAATGTCGGTGTCAAAACCGGCAGATCTCGGGTAGGGGGTCCCAAACTATGCGTCTAAGGATCAAAGGTAACAGGAGGCAGGGGACACGATGTTTACCCAAGTTCGGGCCCTCTTGATGGAGGTAAAACCCTACGTCCTGCTTGATTGACTTTGATGAGTATAGGGGTTACAAGTTGATCTACCACGAGATCGTAATGGCTAAACCCTAGATGTCTAGCATGTATGATTTTGACTGTCTCTATGGACTAAACCCTCCAGTTTATATAGATACCGGAGGGGGCTAGGGTTTGTACAGAGTCGGTTTACAGAGAAAGGAATCTTCATATCCGAATGCCAAGCTTGCCTTCCACGCCAAGGAGAGTCCCATCCGGACACGGGAGGAAGTCTTCTATCTTGTATCTTCACAGCCCACCAGTCCGGCCCATGTGACATAGTTCGTACGCCCGGGGACCCCCTAATCCAGGACTCCCTCAAACACGACGACGCGGCAAGCTCAATCCCGAAAAGTGTGCCTCGGGGAGAGCAACATGCGCATACAAGTGTTGATGGATCCGAAAGTGCGAACCCTTTGCTAGGTTGCCTCGGGCCTCCTTTTATAGTTCAAGGGGTGACCATAGTGGCAAAACAGTCATTTGGGTATGATTAGATAGCTAACAGTGTTATCATACCTAACTCTGGTAGTTAGGACAAAGTGCATTAAATGCACTGCTAGGTGTCATGTTGAGGTTGAAACCCGGCAAGCCTACCGCACCGCTTATCTGCCTTCTCTTCATTATCATGACACGCCAACTGGACGGGTGTCAATAAAGTTAATCTCCTTACAAGTAGGCCGCCATGTACTCTCTGAGATCCACCTAACCACTTAGGAGCTCGACACTGCATCGATTAGTGACTTGCGTGTGATGAGGTGGAGTGTGGCATCTTGGCGGGGATCTGCCGGTCGTGGAGTTTGCCGGGGTGAATTGGCCTTGGTCCTAGGCGTAGCCTCGACCCTGTCGGGCTCGCCTGCCCAGTGTGGGAGGCTTTTCTAGGGAGTTCTCTTGATCACCTTGATCTTCTTAATGCTCTCCTTGATCTCACGAAGAGAGGTTTTGTTGGCTTGTCTTGGGTCATGTCTTGATGACCCGGCGTACACAGCGTAAAATGGGCAATCGTGTACGTGGGTGGTCAGTGCGCCAATCGCATCGCTGAGGCGGTGGTCGCGCCAACCGCACACCTCACTGTGTCGGCTGCCGCTATTAATCTGACATGGAATCACGAGCCTCGTGCGACTGCCCGCCTTCCGCACACCATTAATCCACGCAGATCCGGGAGCGACGCAGGTTCGCAAGCGGCCTGGACTCAGACGATGGCCCTTGACTGCCCAATTTCCGCACGCCACTGCCCACCTACCGCAGGCCACCGTCTGCCTGCCGCACGCTACCGCCCGCCATTATATCGTCTTCCACCTACCGTCCTACCTCTTCGCCTATAAAACCATTCCACCCTCCTCACCTCACGCACATTAACCTCTGCCCCTTCTCTCCACACGCACAACGCCCTCCTCGCCACATACACACGCCACTCTGCTCACCGGTGATGGCGCGCCCGAACCTCACGATGGAGAAGGCAGAGGAGCTCGCCCACTTTGGCATCCCCGTCGAGCCAGACGTGTGGATGTCGGGGCGATGGCGGCTCCGTTTGTCACGGGTTCTGGTGGCGCCGGTGTCCACCGTCAGCACCCACGGCTTTGTGTGCGCCATCGGTCAGTACTAGGCACGGCGGTCGGCAGAGATGCTCGACGACCCTCGGTAAGCTCCCAACAATGCGCACTAACAGGCATCCTCGAGGAGGACCATGAAACACGGCTACAGGCATACGACGGACAACGGCTGCTGGTGAAGCACAATAGTCGTCGCTGGCACGACCTCGGACGAGCGCACCTTCGAAGAAGTGGTCGCCCTGTGCGGCGCACAGGCAGCTAGCGGCATCATTTCGGCGCCGGCCGGCGACGGTTTCCCTGCATTCAGCTGTGGTGTCGTGCAGCCTGGCGGCACCCAAGTGCGTCTGGGCGGTGACCGCGCACCCGTGCGTCCGGATGGTGAACGCGGTGACCACGGCACTGCCGCGCAGGGTGTCAGGAGCGACGCTCCAGGGTCCAGCCCCCCCCCCCCCAATGTTGGACTATATCTATATCTGTACCTACTAATAAAAGAAATAGTAATTCTTAGTCCATCATGCTATTTTATAGAAAACTCCAAGATTTTTCTAACATTAAACCCGTAGTAGATATCAAATGTATTTTAAAATACTCATATCTTCTAAATCGTAACTCCAAATTTAACATGTTATATATCAATTTTGATTAGAAAAATATGTAGAATTTGTACATGATGTTATTTTACCTGTTAACAATTTAAAAAAAATACTATCTAGGGTGCAATCTTAATCAATAATGCATTATTCATCTTTCTTTCATTCCGGTAGTGATTCGGATTGGGGATGAACACCTCAGCAAATCCAGATTGAACACAAAATTGAAGATCAATTTGCTAGAGACACCCAATAAATAAGGACGTGCATGGCAAGAAATAAAAGGAGGACCCAATAAAGATGGGATGTCCGCTATAAAAGAAATAAATGAAAAAAATAGAGGAGATCTGATAAAGATGAGTCCAAAATAGATGACTCAACTTTGTATTAATTTTATACTGAAATTGAGTCATCTATTTTAGAACGGAGGGAGTATATAAGAAGAAGAAAGAGAGGACATGCATGGCAAAAAGTAAAAAGGAGGCATGCACGACAAAAAATAAAATAAAATACATGTTTGACAAAATATAAAAAATGATGAAACAGGGATCAATACCTATGACGTGTATGACGAGAAATAGTGATAAAATATGGACGCAAGTACCTGCGTCCATAGGAGACCATACAAAAAATGTTCTTTTCTAGACAAAAAAATCTCTATTTATGCTTTAAAAAATCATGTATCTTTTTAACAACTCTTCATGTATTTAAGAAATATGCATGTGAAAAAAAGTGTTCTAGAGTTATCCTAAGTTGGTGATGCTTAAACTGAAAACCACCCTTTATGCACACATGTCTTCGAAGTGTGCTAATGTGTCATCGCCTGTTTTTGTCGTTTTTCTTTATCGGCCCGTAACAATGCCCTATTTCACACATGACATGAATAAATGCATGATCACTTGTCCATTTTTTGTACGGATTAAATCTATATGCAAGCCGTGTTGAAATAAAATACATGTGAAATCTTGAACTACGCTTTTGTAGGCTAAGATCATCTTTGTTTGGGCCGTAGCTACAAATTCTTAGAATATAGACCATTTTTTATAAATTAAAAGTATGTGGTATTTTTTTTCTTCCGTCGCAACGCATGGGCCTTTTTGCTAGTATAAGCATAAGTATATAACTTGCTGACGAATTGTGAATGCCAATATTCGGATGAGCACGGTTGAGATCACCAGCAATAATTATTGGATTGAAACTTTCAAGTTTCTCCAGGCCACAAAGGTTAACATTAGTTTATACTTCTCGCAAAAAAATAAACATGACCCTGACTTCTACAGATAATTCTGGACCCTCCTAAAACATCCGATCTGCAGACTCTTCGCAGACTTCTACAGAAGAACCCTTGACACTGAAAGTTTAAAACAAGCACTAATCGTTCTTCTGCCTGAGAACGAGGCCGCGATCGCTCCTGACGCCTTCCGTCCCATTTTTCTTTATAACTACCCAGTCAAAGCACTTGCAAAGGTGCTAACAAACGTATTTAAGTCACTCATCCCCTCCTCGTTTATGCTGACCAAACCGGCTTCCTCACGGGCAGATCAATCGCTGAAAATTTTGTCTACGCCGTTGACCTTCTAAACTGTTGCCACAGGGGAAAACAAAGCCAACACTCCTTATCAAACTTGACCTTAAAAAAGCTTTCGACTCTGTAAGATGGGATGCCTTGATTAAAATCCTTCAGGTTAGAAGTTTCCCCGATCTTTAGTGCTCCTGGATTAAAGATCTGCTTCAAACCGACAAAACCGTTGTACTCCTAAACATGTGCCCAGGTAAATGGGTTGAAATTTAAAAGTTCCTACATGTTGAGTAATGTAGGGCCAGTTCTTTTAAGCGATTCTACCAGAATCGCCTCCTTCCTCAGCTTCTCTCAGAATCACCACTCCATATGTTTTTCACAATCCTAACTAATTAGACCTTAACTAGATAGGATTGTAAAAAAAATATGGAGCGACGATTCTGAGAGAAGCTGGGGAGAGGCGCGATTCTGAAAGAATCGCCGAAAAGAACTGGCCCGTAATTGTATTAGGAAACATAGATTAGACTAGGAAATATTTTGGCTTGCCTTGTACTCCTATATATATGCCCATGAGGCTCAAGCAATACAACGAATCATATTCCATCAAAACATCTCTCTCCCTTCTAACATGGTATCTATCGCAAGTCGATCCTAAACCCTAGCCGTCGGCGCTTCCGCACCCGTGCGCCGCCCCGGGGCGGTCGGCACCCATGACCGCCGTCGGGTGCCGTGCCGCCCGTACCTAGGATTTGTCCGCCGGTCGTGTTGACCGGCTGCCCTATAGAGTCTTTTCTCCAAGCCTTGCTTCGGGGTTTTCTCTATCCCGTCGGTCATCTTGATCGCGCGGTTTTTTTTTGTTTTCCGATCTATTCTTGATAGATTTGCGTCGTCCACCGCCGCCGTCGACCCCGAGCGCCTCTACTCCGACCCCAGCGTGACCAGCCGGCCTCTCCTCCGACCCGGTGGCCACGCGTGCGGAGGCAGCCCGTCAGGGCCAGCCGCCGTCCGCGCGTCGCCCTGCGACGGCTATCACCGCCCTGCTCCGACCGGGACACCTGCATCGCCCCGACCGGGCGGCCTCGCGCCATGCGATGGCCAATCATAGCCCTCGCTCGCGCGCCGGCCCGCCCATCGATCCACATCACCCGCCTCCGCCGCGTCTGCACGGTGGCCCGGTGGTCTACCTCGCCGGCCTCGTCCCCGGTTGCGTCGGGACGGCTGCGTCGGCTGCCTCAACTCGGGCGCCGCTGCTCTGTTGGTCGCTCGGGCCTCGCTGCCCGGGTGCCGGCGTTGCTTTGGCAGCCCGGGTGCTGGTGCTGACAAGCTCGTCCGCATGACGTCCCACGTTGTCCGTCGTCACCGGCTTCATCTCGAACTCCGCCGCCACCACGCCTCCACCGAGCGGCGTCCCCGACCTCGTGCGCGATCGGCTTGATCACTCTCTCGCCGTCGCGATCCGCCTCATCTATGCCGCGCGATCGACCTGGCCCATCGGTTACGCGCGCCTCCGCATGTCCCGTGAAGATCGTCCCCGAGTTCAGCGTGCCTCTCCACCGATCGAGCATCGGACTGCCGCTGCGTCGCTCCGTCGGGCCGCAGCGCCGCCGCCCCGTGGTTCTCCTCGCGGTTGCATCGACTAGTGTGTCGCCGCTGCGTCGCCCCTTCGGGCCGTAGTGTCGCGATACGCGGTCCCCGCAGTTGCACTGACTCGCGAACCGCCGTTGTGTCGCCCCTTCGGGCCGCAGCATCACGGCCCGCGGTCCCCGCCGCCGCCTAGAGGTCTTTCCGCCGTCACTCGACCCGCATGCCGCCGCTGCGTCACCCTTTCGGGCCGGGGCACCGCGGCCCGCTATCCGCTCCGCTGTCACCGCGCGTCGACCTCCTATGGTATGCGTCGCGTCGTCTTCCCTGGCGCGGGAACGCCACCGTCTGCGCCGGTCTTCGTCACGCTGTCAGGGTTCTTCGCCTACTTCGAGCACCGTCGCCGCACTCCTAACCTAGCCGACGTCGCCACTGTCATGCCGCCGCTGCCGCTCTTCTTTGGCCGCCGCTGCCGCTACCTTCATAACCGCCACTGCCATCCGTCCACCCCCTTCGTCTTCGTCCAAGAACCAGCCCGTCGCCAGCGTCGCCATCATCTACCCCGACCACTTCTTCTACTCTGACCACCGTTGGTGACATCGGCCCCGCGCGAATGGACGCCGCAATCGTCATCGAGTTCTTCTCTGCTGGCCCCTCCGACTTCTCCGACATGGCATACAGCTCGTGTAGGTCCCTCGTCTATGCATGCCCGGTGCTGGCAACACTGATGCGTGCCTTCATCCACGACGTGTCCCCGGGTCTGGCAAGGCTGCTCGGCGCTTCGTCAACTTCGTCTTCGTCCGTCTACGCATGCCCGGTGCTGGCAACACCGGTGCGTGCCTTCGTCCATGATGTGTCCCCGGGCTTGGCAAACCCACCATGACGCGTCTACAACCACATTTTCTTCCCGGCGCACCACTACTTTGACACCATTGCGCCCATGCTAACTCGGCGCCTCCATGCGCCCGCGGCTCCACGGCGACTTCCTCGACACCGGTCACCCTGACTCGACATCGACCACGGCATTCTTCGCACGAAAGAACACCGGATGAAGCTGAAATTCTATTGAATAATATGTTGACAAATGAAAATAATTGGACACCTCCGGAGCCAATTCCTGAACCTATTCCTAAACCAACTCTGAAGAAAAGGGGTATTTTATTTCTCAGTCCTGAAGATATGCAAGAGGCAAAGAAATCTATGAAAGAAAAATGTATTAAAGCTGAAGATGTTAAGAATTTACCTCCTATTAAAAAAATACATGATCTGAATTACCGCCTGTTGAAGAAACATATAATCTTAATCCATTACCTATTGAAGAAACTTATGGTCTTGATAACCCGACGCAGGTAATAAAGGTAAATTCTTTCTATAGATATGATAATGCTGAAATCCAATTTACTAAATTTGTTAGCCCATGTTTAGATGAGTTTGATAAATTTATGGCTAAGCAAGAAGACTTTAATGCTTATTTTGTTAGACAATGGAAATACAATTCAAATATGCTTGAACACTTGGGTGATTATATGGCTAATGTCAAAGGTGAACTTAAACTTATTAGTAAACATGCTTCTATGGTTACCACTCAAGTAGAACAAGTATTTAAAGCTCAAAATGATTTGCTCAATGAATTGAATAGTAAAGATAATAATAATGCTGTTAGAGTTATGACTATAGGTGGTAGAATGACTCGGGAACTTTTGTATCCCAAGAGAATTAAGCAAGATTCTCAGACAAATAATATATATGCACCTAGTTCGTCTAAAAAGAAGAAAAAGAAAAATAATAGGACTGTGCATGCTTCTAGTGAACCTATTACTGAAACACCTGAGAATCCAAATGATATTTCTATTTCTGATGTTGAAACTCAAGCTGGTAATGAATCTGAAACTAGTGACAATGTTAATGATAATGTTCATAAGATACGGGCCCACTTTTTTCTGCGTTCTCTTTCATTTTTTATTTTTCTATTTCTTTCTCTTTTTATTTTCTCTTTTTCCCCATTCCAAGTCTATTTTTTTTACATTTTTCTAAACTTCGAGATTTTAAAAAAGTTTGTAATTACAATTTTTATTCAAATGTCATAAAATACTACGAATTACAAAATGTTTTCCTATTTTAAAAAATGATTGGAATTTAATTCTAGTTCTGTCGTGCCAA